ACCCTAAACCCTAAACCCTCGGTAAAGGCCTCCTCCACACCGCCTCCTTCATCCTCCTCGTCCTCTCCGGCGAGCGAAGCTTTGCCGTCCGGCTCAACGATCCGCACGCGGCCCCAGTGTTAAAAAAAACTACAAGTGGGGAAAGTAGAGAATATAGGGCTTCCAAAAGGCTTCTATAAAGTATATAGACCTTCTAGAAGGCTCCTATAACGGTACCTACCCACCTGACAATGTCCTAGACGGTGCAAAGGTTGAGAAACCTAAACCCTGAACCTTGAAACCTATGCTATCTATCAAGGCCCTATTATGCTATCACGTTATGCCCTAAACCCTGAACCCTGAAACCTATTCTAACTATCAAGGTCCTATTATATGCTATCACCTTATACCCTAAACCCTGAACCCTCAGCGAAGCCAAGATCGGAAGTTTTTAGGCCTGCTGTGGCGTCGTCATGGGCTTTACCAAGTGTTGAATAGGGCTTTACAATGTGAATCTGGGGGATATGAACAGTTAACTGCGGAGTTCGAAATGCAACTACAATGGGAAGAGACATTGTCGGTAGGCCCGGTAGACTCCTTTGCACAACTGTCTGGTGTTAGGGTTTAGGGTTTAGGGTTTTAGGGTTTAGGGTTTTAGGGTTTAGGGTTTAGGGTTTTAGGGTTTAGGGTTTAGGGTACTGTCTGGTGCTTAGTAGGGACTGAGGGAATGGGTTATAGGGACTACTATAAGGGACCTCAAGGGACTATCATAGGGATCCATTCCCCCCTCCCCTACTAAGCACCAGACAGACAAGGGAAGCACATTGGCAAGCATGGCCTGGATTTTTTGTGCAGGCTATGTAGGCTTTAGATCTAGACATTTCAACAGCAGCCAAGCCTGGCGGATGCAACGTGCCTGTGATGCTCTCATGTCAGTGTTGCTTGCCTTTCAAGGTTAAGACTCTGAAGTGGGACTTACTGACATGGCAGAGGTACACCGCAAAGAAGGTGCCGTTGGACATACCTTCCTTCACAGGGAATTATGCACGGGCCTTGGATTTCCTCGTGGGTGGGGAAAGGGCGAGAGTTCATACTTCCCTCGCAGCTTTATTCCGGAGCCACCTCACACCGTTCCAAGAGCAATACCACCAGCACAGTCAGCCCTAAAACGCTTGATCATGGGTTGAGGATGACATGAAGCTGGCGGTTTGGCTTCTCTGCATGTCTTTAACAGTCTAAGGATGTTGATGTTCCAACTTTCGGGCTTCTGCTTTCATGCCACCCGTACTTAGTGTAGCAGTGCCCTACCATGAAGTTTCGATCTCCAAAGAATTAAGACGGCAGCCGTGTTCGAACACTGCGGTAGGACGCAGTTTCCTTAAGCGGATCCTATATACTAATTACCTAATTTAGCGGCCAAATACACGTACTACAAAACCAGTGCGTTGACCCTTCAGCCAAGCCCAACCTTGATGCTCAGGCCGACGTGATGGCATTGACGCTGTACAGAGCCGGGGGCTTTGGGGAATCGGAGCTCCCCTAAACCCTGAACCCTAAACCGTAAACCCTCAATCGAAAGATGTTTGCAGAGGGTCCACGGCACGTCGGGAGCGGCCCAGGGTGCAAACAATCCGAAGCTGGGCTTTGGAGTACCATACTTTGGGGACCTGTTCCTTAAAGGAACCATTATGAGATAAAAGTCTATACTTTTTCGCCCTGGTTCAAATTTAGGGAAGTTGTGTGCTGGAAAGCTGGCACATCATCACAAGTTCCATTTTGAAAAGAATGTCCCACATGTCGGTTGGTCATTCGCCACCTTTGATCGCAAGCCTTTTTTTGAGAACACCCACGGTGAACCTTGCGGTTGCCTTACATAGATGGTAATTATTATGTTATCGATTCCTTAGGGCTTATCTTGATCCCTCGAGGTCATATCCGAGAGTTTGCTGAAGTCGGCCAACGACGCCCTCGTGGAGATGCTGATGACGGCGCTCTGCAACGTGCGGTGCCCCAATACCAGACACCGGAAGCTTCAAATTCCTAAACCCTCAGCCGAAGAACTTTAAAAACCCCAAACCAAAAAACCCTTAAACCCTAAACCCTGAAATCTGAAATTCGGGACCCTAATTAGCAGCAACGGTGCTTGCAAGGTCTCCCCCTACGTCAAGGGCTTCGCTCTCGAGAGGCTGGCGAAGAAGGAGTACTTCAGCATTTCAGGGCTTGGAGTAGTTTGGGGGGTTCCCAGAGCGCCCAAAATACCCTCAAATCAGGAGTGCACCTTCAAGCATAGAGGGCCTGTTTGTTTGGCTTAACTCTATGCAGTCTCTTAGATCATGTTCAGCACCAGAATCAATATTGGCATGGATTAGGGTTTAGGATTTGGGGTTTAGGGTTTAGGGCTAGGGCCTAGGGTTTAGGATTCAGGCTCTTGGGATTTAGGAACTGTTAGCATGCGCTCCCGGTTTACGCAGAATTGCTGGCTACCAGGGTCGAAGCTATTCTGCCTTTCGCATCGATGGAGTCGTGTACTAGGTTCCGCAGTAGTGCCCTTTTACACTTTTTCATTGTGGGGTTCCCTTTTCAAAGCCAGTGGGAACAAGGGCACCCTTATGTTTGTGTGGTATTCACACATGCATTCATGCATGCATGTGTGTGCAACAATGCGTCATACGTACATACATTTTCTTCGTACCACGTGTCCGTAAACTCATTTGTTATGCGATCTGCTTTCTTGGATGAAAACCCCAAAGCCCCATGTCCGTACAGAAACGATGCAATGCTTAAAACCGCATACACCCTGAAAGGCCGAAAATCCCCACACCCGAAAGCCCGAATCCGAAAGGCCCCCACCCCCCCGTGCCTTGGACGCTTCACG